CGTGCATGGTAAAGATGAGGTTCAGCAACAATGAGGAAGCTCTTAACAAGGTGGACGGACGCAGTGCCTGCAACAGTGGGCTCAAGCATAATAGCACTGGTGGGGGTGGAACGGGTGTAGTCCGTGTTTGCTCCGTGTGTGATGACACCCGAATAAACCTCATGGCCGTATTTCATCTCCTCTGGCTGCACAAGAGGACGAGAACCCACCTGTACTCACTTGCCGAAAGGCAGAGGTCAGCCATGCCCACCCTCCATCCTTCTTTATTCTAACGCCAACTGTTCCTCCCATGACACTGCTGGGTTTGACAATCCATTGCAATAGCCACACAGAACTCCTGGATAAAACTCATGATTAAGGGGCTTTATTCGCAAGGTGACCAGATTTAAAGCGGGACACCATTGAACGGGGTGGGTAGGGGGTGGGTGAGTGTTCTTGATTAAAAATTTGGTCTATATGGACCAAATCGACTGTTCCCTAGCTTGTCATGCATTCTTTCCAAAAATCGGGACTTTTTTAAAACACCAAAAATCGGGACTGCCCCGCCAAAAGCGAGACGTCTGGTCACCTTATTTATTAGGGATGTTAACAGGTGGTCACAAGCCAGGATCCGAAGCACTAGTGATATACATCACCTCTCCTCAGCTAGAGCCAAGTCTCTCTTTGGTCCTCAGCCTCTCCGCTGCATGGCCCTTTAGCTTTTGCCTTTGTGGACCAGGAACCCCCCTGCTCTGCCTCACACTTGCATAGTCTTGGTGCTGTTCCTCTGTTCTGTCTCGTGGTCTCTTTGCCTTAAACTTCTGGTCCCAGCATTCTGTCCCCTAGTCTCCTTGCTGCTGCCTCTGGTCTTGGCTTCCTCCACTTCAGAGATCTCCAAAACGCTAGACTGGTGGCTCTTCTTCCTTGATGGCCTTAGGATTTCGCTCTTTCTGCCTCTGAGATGGTACGTTGTATAGCTAGGAGGGTGGACACTAAAACTGGGCCATCCCCTCAATTAGTGTGCACATGCTGTTTGCAGAGCCCCACTCAATCACAGAGACATGGACGGAAGAGCCATAGTATGAAATTTCACTTCACCACAACACCTAACCATAATAGCAGTGGGACATAGTGTTAAAACCATCTGTTGAAGGGAACATTTAGTATCATCCATTATCTTTGGAAAACTAGCTGACATCGTTGCCCATTGTCTTTTCCATCAACAAATTATGTTTTAATCTGCTTATTTGATAATTGGTCATCTTATAAATTAATTATGAAATATTTTAAAATAGATATGGTTGGTGCCGTTGGGTAAGCATTGGACTGCTAACTGAAAAGTCAGCGGTTCAAAGCCACCAACAGCTCTCTTTGAGGAAGACGATACCATCTGCTTCTGTACACATTGACAGCCTCAGAAACCCTAAGTAGGGTCACACCTAGTTGATGACAGTGGGCTTCTTATGTTTTAACCTTACCCATGGATAGAGTCCTGGAGGCATAGTAGTTATGCATTAGGCTGCTAATAACCACAGGGTCAGCAGTTTGAAACCATCAGCCAGGTCACTGGAGAAAGAAGAGGCTTTCTACTCCTCTGAAGAGTTAGTCTCAGAAGTCCGCAGGAGCAGTCTACCCTATCTTAGAGCATCGCTACGTGTGGGCATTGCCTCGATGGCAGTGGGGTTTGTGTGTGTGTGTGTGTGTGTGTGTGTGTGTGTGTGTGTATGGAGGGAGTCACAGCTTGATCAATGGTCCTGATTCAGATTCTTGAGAGTGCCTGTATATCTGTATCAGATTGCTAACAGCTTCAACCCATCGTTTGCCTATTTTTAAAGGGAAACTCGGTTTAGGGAAGTTTGATTATATGCTCCTTTAAAATTTAAATAGTTGTGAAAGGTTTCAGGAAACTGGTGTGAAGCCAGAATATGCCATGGGTCAAGTTTACTGAGCCTATCAGTTTACTTGAAATCTTTGTATGGACTTTGGGCTCTCTAATCTGCATTACCCTCCCCCTACAAGCGTAGCGTAGTTCAGGGTTTTGAAATCAATTCATCAGTTCTCAGCCTTCCATGGCCTGCCTTGGCTGTCTTTGCCATATCTGGTAACTGTTCTTTAATCTCTGGAAGAACATGTTATAGATCCCCTGAGATAGTCTCCCTCAGGGAAAAGTTGTTCCCAACCCTTCGAAGGTGGTTCAAATGCACATTTGGACTGAACAACGTGCCTGGGGATATTCAGGGTTGCTTATAGACATTTTGATCCACAAGAATGACAACGTGTACCTTAGAAATGCTAAAGTGTATGCTTATTTCTGTGCATGGATGCATATCATACCTCCTACGCTTTGCTTCTTGTTAAAGGGACACAGCCTAAAAACAAAACAAAACAAAAAAGCAATCACTTTATTAAACAGCGGATCTAAAATCTGTGTGTGTGTGTGTGTGTGTGTGTCCTGTCTGTCCTCTCCCCAGGATGGCCCCCAAATACCTAGGCACCCTGAAATGCTGCCAGGCGTTCTGTTGTTTAACTAATAGAAACTTTACATGGGGGAGCTTGTGGGGCAGACGTGCCAGTCTGTCTCCAGTCCGTTCGTCAGACTGGCAGGAAGCAGCCACTGAAACAGCTGTTGAACGCACGAATGGATCTCTAGGCCACGGGTACGTGGGGTTTGGTGGCTGCTCGGTGTGAAGGGGGCGCAGCGGAGGTCGCCAAAGTGAAACATGACCGCGTCCTCTCGTGAATGAATGCGGAAGGTGTCGGGCTGCTTTTTACGTTGAATTTTATGGACCTTCTCTGGGAAAGGGACTCCTCGTATTCATTCAACCGTAACTTAGAGTTCTGCTTCGGAAACCTTCACTACCAACTCGCTCTCATTCTACTCCCAAAGCGTTTGGATCCTGCGGGGTGGCTTCCAGAGGATACATTTCAAAAGAGTAGCTTTTGGCTGGCATTGCCAAAGTGCTGTCTCTTTACTGACGGTTGCAAATGGCATGTGGGGGGTAGCTAATACTTCAGAAGGGGCCCTGGGTGGTGGTGCCTTGGTTAAGTGCTGCGTGGCCATTACCCTGAGGTCATTGGTTTGACCCCACCAGCTGCTCCATGGGAGATAGATGAGGCAGTCTGTTTCTCTAAAGATCCCAGCCTCGGAAACCCTATGAAACCTTATAGGACAGTTCTCATTGTCCCTACAAGGGACTGAAGGTGTCAGTTCACTTGATAGACACTGGTTTCAGAACATTCCAGAAACCTGACTTTTTCACCATGTCCTCCTGTTTCTTAGGGTTCAAAGCAGCAAAGAAAAACAAGCTTTTTAGGAAATTGCAGTTAATCAGGCTGCCGTAAAACATGCAAAAGGGATGTTGAAGCCACCCAAATGACCCGCTCCTCGGATTTGACAGTGATGAGCCCTTGCCCAGCTGCACTTGGATCTGAGTGGAAGGATGTCCAGGGCAAAAGCAAGGTCGCGGGGCTGCAAGACCCTGCCTGGTTCCAGCCCTGGCTCTGCCAGCGAGCCAGTGAATAACTGTGGCCATCCCTTCTCCCTTGCTTGGCCTCAGTTTCTACATTTGTTAAGAAAGAAAGAATGCCAATTCCTCAGGGCTGTTGTGAGAATTGCACAGTAACACAGGGGTCACTGTGAGTTGGCTTCGGCTCAGTGGTGAGGTTTTCTTGACTTTCCCTTCTGTCTGCTAAGATGCTGGGAAGCAAATGGTTTTCCTAGAAACGGATGGGTCACCTTCACATCTTTATCTTTTCTGCTTGTGGTCAGGGGTCCTGTTTTTGAAAGTGGCTGGTAGCCAACAAACCCTGACATGCTTGCCCCCTGTGATCAGGTCCCTGCTAGATGCCCACCTTATTATCAGCAGAAGAGCAGACTGACAAAGTAGAAACCAAATCCGCTTTACCGCCCTCTGAACTGAGCTTCAGGGTCGAAGAGGGAAAGAAGGGGCATGCACACAGATAGCCGAGAGTTGACTGTTGGGACAGCTGAGACCTGCGTAGTGTGGGGACTTAAGGCAGAGGAAGTGCCCTTGGGAAATGACCGGTTGGTATTCTCTACAGAAGACCAAGGCTGAAACTTTGGCCGTTATATACTAGGTGTGTGTTGGACTAAACCACCGTCTGTCTGCCTATTTGCTGTACTGGGGTAGCTCGTGTGTGACTCCGATGCTTTGTTCTGTTGTGCACAGGGTGGCTATGAGTTGGAATCGACTCGACAGCACCCAACAACCACATTGGAGTAAGGCATAGGGGACTGCAAACGTTGCTTGCTGGATGTCTCCATTGATGAGACATCAATGCCTGCTGACGAGATCTGGTAAAAGACAGAAATACGGAGAGAGGCACTTTCAAGATTTCAGTGTTTCTATACTAGGGTTTCCAGTGGCTTCTTCCTTCTTTGAGATGGATGGACACTACAGCTGCGGCAACGGGCTCAAGCACAGGACCAGTTGTGAGGATGGCACAGGACCAAGCGGCAGGGCTTTGTTCTGTTGTGCAGAGGGTCGCTGTGTATCAGAACCCATTCAATGGCTCTTAAATACAACAGCATACTAGGGTTTATCAGTGTTTTAGGTTGCACGAGAGGTCTTCATTTCCTTAAGAACTGGGGAAAAGTCTGTAGTTTCTTTGTTCAACCCTGGAGTTTCCAGAGCCACTGGACTCCTTCTGCAAGCCCATGATGGGACATTGTTGCTAATAGAGCACGCTCTGATTCACGGGAGGCTCTAAATCCTATGGCATTGTGTCTATGAAAGCTTATCGCCGCTCTCTTATTGAGTTGGGACTAACCTACACTTCTGGAATTTTTTTTATTGGCTAAAAATAATATAATAATTGCAGTATTCAGAGGCCAGTCTCTTTCAATGCTTGCTGTTTTAATGCCCTATCTCTGAAGGTTCAGTGTTGAACTGCCTGTATGAGTCTGGGTGTTGTGTTTTGTCTTTTCCTAGTTGATGTCTCTGGTGTTTACTGGATGGACACTGCTTTTGAAGTAACGTGCTACTCTCTCTTGTGTCTAGCTATCGTGGATGATGAAAGACTCTCTGCGGAGGAGATGGATGAGAGGCGGCGGCAGAACATCGCTTATGAATATTTGTGCCACTTAGAGGAAGCCAAAAGGTAAGCTCTCTAAGCTTCTGTCGGAGATCCGCTTCGCTTCTGGGTGAGGGTGTGGCGTATGACGGCCAGAAGACAGACAGTTGAATGGCTGAGCAGTTCCATAGCAGTGCCAGTGTTGTGGGTGGCCAGGGCAGAGACTCTGGTTGGCACTCTGGGATTCAGATTTGCTTAAGCTTCCTGTACTAGGAGATCAGTGAGCTGGGGAGGGGGTGGGTGATGACTCCCCCTTCTCATCCCACTCTAGTTCTCTGTTACAGCTGGATGAACACCATACTCAACCCACGCCCATGCAACCAAACTCTCATAACCCATTTGCAGTCTTGTTAATGGTGGGCTGGTGGGAGAACTCGGTCTTTACACACGATCAGGTAGAGTGGAGAAATCATGGCTACCATGGCCAAGGTCAAGGCACTGGGAAGGAAATTGTTCCTTTTCCTTCTTCAGAACCTCCAGGAGAATACTGGCCTAATTGCAGTTGATTTCAAACCTTCACCTCGCTGGCTTGGATATGGGGGAGTAAGTTTTTAAACTAAATTCCTCTTCCCCCAGAACTCCCTTGACCCTTTTAATCACCCCTCCCCCAAAGATCATAACTGCCCAGTAGGGAGAAGAGCATGTTGGACTTTGGCCCAGTGCTCACTAAACAGGAGGGTAGGTTTATGACGGTTATCTCTGTTTTAACCCATGGGTGTGTGGCCATTGAGGGTGTGTTGTCTCTAAAATCACATTGACTCTTGCGACTTTTTTAGATTAATTCCCAGTTGGGTTCTCCAAGGAGAAAGTGACAACGAAGAAAGTATTTGCTCTTTATCAGAAGAACTTTGTCCTTTGCTGGGACCATAGCTCAGTGCCCATTGACCATGAGTCAGATTCTGATTTAGTGCTGTGTGCAGTGTGTGATCAGCAGTATTGTTCCTTGGGCAGATGCTATGTTCCAGCTCTCTTATCTCTACGGACAGTAAACACTTAGTGGCCATTAGGGTTCATTCTCTCTGGTCATTGGTAAATAGCTAACTACAAAGCTAGAGTAATGAGGTTTTTTAAAGTCAGCATTTTGTGTGACACTCGTGCTAATTTGGCATCAAAATTGCTTAAAAGGGTGTTTTGCAGGGTTGTTTGATAAGATTGTATTTTAAT